TCTGCTCGAATTAATGCCCTGCTGGTAGAGCGGGTTGGCGGAGTGAGCAAAAGTCTTTTAGCAACTCGTGCATGACGTCGACAATCGCTTAAAGTCCATCTGTGGGCACGGGAATAAACTACTGGGCGTGCCGTGTGCCAGCAGCTGGCAAGAAGAGCCTGGTTTTCCCGTGCTCTCCCCAGCTCCCGCTGCCGCTGCCCTCCGCTGCACTTGGGGAGGAGAGGGTAGAAGGGGGATGGGAGATGGGAGCCGCGCGCATATACACTAAAGTATCTGGGCCCTGCCCCATGGGGTTTCGCAGAAACGCTACAGGACAACGGATATTGTATCATTTCCTGGCTTGTCCTCCTGGCGACAGGTGTCGACCAAAACATATACACTGTGTTTGGGCCGCCATTTTCCAATGAATGGTGGACAGACATGACATTGTATAGTGGACGTGTTTGCGGCCCCGGGTCGCCCAACCCTGGCTCCGCAGCCCCAGCTTGCCTAGCGAACGCGCGCTGTGCCCCCGCCGCCGGCATCGCTGCCTCCCAATGGTGTTCCGTGGGGATCCCCACCCGCTCCGCCACTGCGGCCACTGCTCTCAGCCCATCCCGCCCTGCAACCTGATCAACCCCGTCCCGCTGCATCTTGCCATTCTGGACGGCCTTCGGCTCCGATGCCGCTGGCCCCCGCGCCCACCTCTCTCGGTGGCTGGTCGTCGCCCTCCTGCACTGCTACCGCTGACCTGGCCCCCGGGTGTGGTCGCAACACCGCCCCGTGACCGCTGCCAGGGGTCCAGCACGGGCTTGGCCGCCCTGGGCGCTTCGCTGCGGCGCCTGCTGCCTGAGCGCATCAGTTAATATCCTTCCTCCCGCGGCCGCTCCTAACTTCCCTATCTTTTCCCTCCTGCATCCGGGCAAGTCGCAGCTTGCCCGATCGCGCGTGCGGACTGCCGCTGCCGCGCTGCGACGTCAAACAAATTCTTGTAGCCCCGAAGAAACCTGGGGGACCCAGGCCTCTCCGACGTTGTGACACTCTCACAAGACGTGGGCCCCCGAGGTCCTCGCCCCCTCCCCACGGGAGCAGCTGTTCCACCCGAGCAGTTATGTGACGGCCCCGGGCCCAATGTGATACCCTGGGGGGCCGAAGCGCGATGCTCTCCCCACCCCGCCCCCAGCGCGCGTGCAAGAGGGAGCCCTCTCTGTGGATTGTACGGGAGTGACTGTATGGATACAGAGAGACACGAGGTACAAGTAGGGGGACACGTGCTAGACGAGGCACGTTAACTTTCCTTTTGCGGGGGCATGGGCGCGTCCGTCACCCGCGCGCCACGGTAGCTCAAGGGCCCTCGTGAACCACTATGGTGGCGCACAAGAGAGTACAGAGAGAGAGAGGCGCAGGAGGAGGGGAGGCTGACATAGACCTGACAACCACAGCTCCTACCTTTCGTGCATCCGAGAAGCCGCCTCGCCTCAAAGCATGAAGTTCCTCTCGCAGTAGATACCGTAGCCATTATATGTACGTCTCTGGGAGAGATCCTCGAAAGGATTGTCCGACCCGGGGTCCATGATGAGATCTTCAGACTTCGCTGCGTCCGTAGCCTGCCCCATCTGATCCATGAAACTATGTGGCTCGCTCGCCTCCGCGACGGTCGCACTGTTGGCCAGTGCGCTCCATGTAACGACCTGCTGCGCTGAGCTCCATGGTCCATTGAGGAACCCATCTCTCGCGCTTGGGAACCAGCTTGCCCTCGAGAACTGGCAGGCCGGAGTCCTCGATCGTCTCGTCTGAGTACGTGCGGACACACGGAAACGCTGTCGGGGTGGCCTGTTGCCGAGAAGTACATGCTGACCGTACAATTCCAGAGCCTATGCCATCCAAAGATTTGCTGCTTAGCCTGTACCTTGCCCCTGATCTCCCTCATCGTCGCAGCGCGAATCCAGAGCGCATCGACGTAAACGCTGCCTTCGGTCTGGCACCACTGCGTGTGGACAGGCATATGGGGATCGCCTGCGCGAAGATTGCGGTCCACCTGCAGCTCGAAAATGCAAGAGCACAGGTTCATCTCAGGGCTGACGTCAGACGACACATGCACCATGTAGTGGGTGCAGGAGGTACGGCGAAGTGCTCGTTCGCAGAAAATGCCGTAGACTTTTTCGCAGCTCGAAGGTTCTGGTTTCACCTCGAACAGGCCCTTCTTGCTCCAGATCGACACAGTGCTGCCAGGTTGGCACCGTGGTAGGCGGTCTCGATCGTGGCCTCCTTCTTGTTGAATTCCTTGTCATGCTGCGCCTCCCTAGCACATATCGGCGACATATCCATGATCGACCACTGTCCGGTTGGATACGCAATGGGCCCCTTGATATGAGGACCGTCGACGAGTCGTGAGAGATGCTCACGAGTAAAACGGGATCATTGGGGTATTTGGTTCTCCCAAAGTGGCTTCTGGCCCCTCTCATCCGCCATCATCTCCTTGATATCCGACTGAATGCGAGGAGGAACTCGTGCCATGGATACGATGGCCGCCTTTGCCAAAATGTGGTGGTAGTTCAAGCTTCCGATTTATTTACACGCCATATCAAAGTCGTACGATCCTCTGTCCAGTGCTCAAACATATCCCAAGCAGCGTCGTTGAGCTTGGGTTCTCTAAGAAGCATGTGCCCTTTCAAACCCTCTAGCAGGGTCACGTGCTTCTCGAATTCTCGGAAAAACACGCGGTCACGCGCAAAATAACTGACTGGGGATTCATATCGCTGACGCTTGGTGTCGCCCGAGCAGAAAAGTTTCCCAAAAGCCTTCGGCATGCTGCGGTATTGGTATTCGACAAAAACCTGCCAAATATGTTTAACCACAACCTGCCCGCCGCCCTCTGAAGACAGATGATCATCGGTGAGTTCGTTAATGATGATCTGGAGGTCGTCTTTGTCACAACGATAGATGAAGTATCCGCGTTGTGCTGTCAGAATTCTGGTAGTGGCGAGCCACATCGGCAGCTCCTTCATATAGGGGGCTAGACGATTATCCAGATCTTTCTTCCATCCCAAGTGGGAGGTAGGTCGTTTGGTATTTTTGGGGCTTCCGGTTGTTCAGGACATTGCCCCCGTTGGCGATCAGAAGATCTGGCAGTGGTATCTCCCCAACAGGTCGGAGCAAGAGGGGGAACAACAAAAAAACAAAACATAGCTTGTCCTCGCAGAGGCGTGTTCTGCCGATTTGGTGCAGCCAGCGAACCACGTCCCCGCGCAGTCTAACCTGATGAAAATAGTTGCGCGTTGGGCCGCGTCTCCGTCCAGGGCTGTGAGAGCAAGCGGGCCCAATCCTGATCTGACCAGCCCACATTGCCATCACCTTCCCAAGGAACGCCTTCTCGTCTTCAAGCTCCTGCCCAAGGATCCTGATCTGGTTGTAACCAAAGATCTGCTGGAAGTTCGTCTTCTTGAAGCTGAGCGTCGTCTGGAGAATCCATGGCGGCGCTCGGTGCTGTAGGGTAGGGAGCGGGAAAAGCGGGATATGAGTAAAGAGTGTGTCGCCCGAGAACCGAATGACAGGGGAGTCGTCATGACTCCCCTCGTGGATCTCAACCACTGGCTCCGCTGCCACTGAGGATTGCAGGGGAGTGATTGTTTGGATACAAGGAGACACGAGGTACAATTAGGGGGACCCGTGCTAGAAAAGAAAGCACGTTCTCTTTCTTTTTGCGGAGGCGTGAACGCGTCCGTCACCGGCGCGCCATGATGGCTCAGGGGCCCCTGTGAACCGATATGGTGGCGCACAATGGGGTACAGACAGAGGCGCAGGAGGAGGGGAGGTTGAACTGGGCCTGCCAACCACACTCTCGCACTCTTTTGTCAGCGGCGACTTGGGTCCAAGACGCGGACGTGGCAGCCGAACTAGGCACAACCAGAGGAGGACAAGCGCGGATGGGGGGGAACAAGCCGAGGGCGGCGGAACAGGCTCAGACCGTGAAGATCTTGTACGTGTGTGCCCGAACGCATGCTTACACGGGCAGCACGCTGGGAGTGACCCTTTTCGGACACGCGCACGCGCGCAGCCCGGAGCCAGCGCCACCTGGCATTGGGCGTGCTGGGTGTCTGCCAGGACGCGTGGAGCCAGACTGCATTGCCACCGCATCTTGACTGTAAAGCCAACGCGCTGCCGCACGGAGCGCTGACCAAAGAACGAAGGGGCCTCCCCGGCCGAGCCTCGGCCACGAACAGGCTCCAGCACGCAGTCCCAGAAAACGGCCCGAGAACCCGAGCCCCTCCTGAGACCAAGGCGGTCCTTATTTCAGCGTCCCGATTGCAGGTCGCTCGCGCACTGCTGCTGCCTGCGGCGGAGGGGCCGGGGACCACCAGGCACCCCGTTCTCGCCGAGGGCTGAAAGACTCCTGCCACCCATCGGCTCGCGCTGGAGCGGCCAGGATGTGCTCCAGATGTCCCTGGAGACCTCTGGGCTCACCTCGACGCACCTGGATTTATATTGATTTCCCCGCGTCTACCTTGATTTATCCGTCTTGATCCGCACAATGGGCGAACGGTCATCGAACCCTTAGGGCCCTTCGGCTTGGAGGCGGCCAGGCGGGTCTGAATTGGTTGGGGCCCGAGAAGATCCAGGAGGGGGGGATGAGACCAAATCCGCTCAAAATCTGTCCCCGTACCCCCCCCCCATCCGGTGCTGTTTTTCACCCCAGATCCGTTTTCGACGGCCCCGACAGAACCCAGCACCTCGAACCTCGACCCCCCTTCCTGCTCGCCAGAACCACTACTGGACCACCTCGAACCCCCAGCCGGCTTGATCCCCAGAAGTCGATGGGCGAAAAGCTGCCCAGCCCTTACCCAGACGTGCGATGCCCTTATTTTTGCAATGCAGCGTCCCCCGGAAGCCCTCACCCTTTCCCGGGGCCGGTTTTTTCATCCCGAACCGTGTTGTGACGGTCCCGGGGCCCGGCGAGGGCCCCCACAGACGGCCAACGACGCGAGCATGTCTGGGCAGGGACCTTCGGCGCCCCCGAGAGCCAGCCGCGCGCCAGGCAAAAGCCAGGCACCGCGGCGTGCTCCACCAGCCGGTACGGGACGCCCGCCCACAGCCCCGCGGCCGGTGGCTCCGGCGGCCAGAGCGGCTGCCTCGGGAGTCGGCCACACGCAAGTCGGGGGCGGCCAAGAGGGGGGAGTCCAAGAGGGGGGGGGGCGCAAACAATGGCCGGCTGCACGTGCGCGGTCCAGGGGGCGGCCAGGGACGTAATGAAATAAGAGGAGGCGCCATGAGATCTGGGGAGATATCATGGCCCCCGCCATGATATCCCCCCCCTGATCATCACCCCCCTCTTTACCGCCCCCGAGCAAGAGGGACTCTGGGCAAGAGTGACCTTGGGTGCTTGGCTTCAGGGGGCCACGGTGGGGCCAAATCCAAGCGCGCAGCCAGTCTTGGGGGGCACAGGGGGGTCCCCTCTGGTCCCGCATCAAGAGGTCACTCCGGCGGAGGGTCACCTAGGTGTGCCCGTCGGCCCGAGGGAAGGCGTCAGCTTGCACGTCGGCGCCTGCCCTGGCGGGGCCGATCCTGCAAGAAGAGGCCTCCCAGATGGGGTCCGAGCAGACGGGGTCGGAGGATCGCGCCGCATCGCCGATGCATCGGCGATGCGGTTCGATGTGGCGACCGACTTCCTCCACGCCGACGTCGCCGATGCATCGCAAACGTCACCGATGCATGGACGACGCATCGTTGATGCATCGGAGATGCGGCACGACCCTCCGATCCCAGCTACTCGGACCCATCTGGGGAGCCTAGAGCAACTCTCCGCGAAATCAAACGCAAGCTTTGTTCCGCGACGTGGCGGCGCCCAAGGACCACATTTTCTCCCGACCCTGCGGGCCGCGCTGCGCGCGTCGCTGAACGCGCTGAACATTGAAATTGCGGGGCGAGGGGGGGTGGAGAAACTTGCGTTTGATTTCGCCAAGGGTTGCAGGATTGGGCCCAAAATCGGCCTGGCCAAGCTTCTGGAAATCTTCGCCGGCTCTCAGAGGGTTTCTGGCCCTGGGGCGCTTCCCAGCAGCTCCGCTTCGCCGAGAGCGCTCCTGGGGAGCCTGCGTCGTCCCGAGCGGCCGCCGGAGGTCCGCGACGAAAACAAGCCCGGGGACGCAGAGGGCACATGTACACGTCGGTCGGAAGAAGTAGGTAGAAACGTGAAGTAGGAAGGCGGATGTAGTGGATTGGGTCCAGGTCCTCCCAGAGAGTGACAAAACGCAGCACAAGCATGTCGATTATTGAAGTAGGAAGGCGCTTGAAGTAGATTGGGATCTGGGAATCAAAAAATACCTACTTTCAACGGCCGGCGTGTATACATCACCACCACCAGGCCTGGCCAGGGCACGGCACGGTGGTGGCGTGCAGGTGCCTTCTGCGATGAGTTTGCAAGCCCCGTTGGTGCCTGGCCATGTCCGCTCCACGCGGGCATGCCCTGCCAGCCCCTCGGGCCAGAGCAGCTGCGGGCCTCGGCACTTCAGGCACACAGACACGTGCGATAAGAAATCATGCTGTAAGGAATCAAGGGGCACCTCCTCTGTGCCGACTCTGAGCTTCGCGAGGTGCTGCAGGGCTCTGCGGGCACATCGGGAGGTACGAAAGGACCATGGGACATCCGCTGGCAGACCAATTTCTGATCTGGTAGTGCCGCTTGTAGTCTTGTTTGCGAGAGGGGGCGGGGGCAATGCGCCCCTGGGGAAGATAGTTTCACCTTTGCAGTGCGACACGGGGGCGCCCACGACACGCAAGCGTCCACCCAGCAAGGCTACGACCCAGACACTGAGCTACACGTCCGCCCGCAATCCAACCCCGATCCTCGCAAAGCTGGCTGCGCACTGCTCCAAACGCGGGGACGTCATCAAGAAAACAAGTGCGCCGACTTTCCCTTGAAAGTACCCCCGGCAGATTCTGAGGCAAGGAAGAACATCCAAGTCCTGATCTGCTCCATGCGTGGGGCTGCAGATCCCTCGGACCCATCCTTCGTATGGATTTAGCGCCGTGCGTGGCTTTTTGATGAAAGTCCCAGGGCCCGAAACGAGCCTCTAGAAGCTCAGACTTTGAAGCGCCGGCCGTCTTGATTTGGCCGGGACGCTGCAGTTCGTGGCTCGCGCCACACAGCCGTGGGGGCATATTCGATGTGGCCCTCATGAGATGCCCCGCCCGTTGCTGTCAAGCCATGCCTGTCTGATCTGGGTGGGAGCACTCGAGGCGCCGAGCAGGCCTCTAGCCTTTTCCTTGTCGGAAGCAGAAAGAGCGCCTTGAAGCTACCCATCAGCGTGTGCAGGTGGAATGGGTAAGCCATGGACGCTCTTTTCAGCAAACAGTATTATCACAAGTGAAACACCACAGCGGGCGGCAAGTATAACAGCCCTTCATACCACCGTCGCTACGCTTGTTGTTTGCTTCTCTCTCTCTCTCTCTATCTCTTCCCCCATCCCCTCTACCACTGCACAATACGAATACTGTTATTCCGAATTACCTGGTTTTGTCTGGATG